TGGTGGACCTCAGTATTTCTAAAAACCTGGTTACAGCCCTGCTGCACAAAATAAGATAAAAAGAACTATAACAAAGTTTAAACATGATACTGCCCTTTTTAGGATATACATTCACTCAATGTGTGTCCATCTGTGTGTGTTACCTGTCTCTATCTCCTTACTGAGGATGTTCCTCAGCACATCATCATAGACATTGTGAACCAGGATGAAATTGCTGTAGTCTGAGAAGATGTACTGCTCGAACTGCTGCAGCTCCTGGACAGAAAACACATGCAATGCTTAGTAAAACCATTTGTACTGCAGTCAGAGTATAAATGTGTACACCAGAATGTGTGTTTGGCCTACAGTTTTCCACTTGCTGTCCATCCTCTTGGTGAGAGCTGGCAGAGTGATCTCCAATAAAGCTTCCTGATAGAGCCTCCTCTGAACAACTCTGCTGTCATAGTCCAGCTGCTGCTCACACACACACACACACACACGTGTCACTTAGAGTCCTAATATCATCAATTTTGAACATTTTAAGTATTTGTTTAGCACATGAGTAGTATAGAAAACAAGTAATATAAATGAGTAGTAGTCTGCTTTGCAAAAGTATGCACAGCCTTGTTCCATTGTTGGTCACAGATGGAGTCACTGAAACACTTATTTTCTCTGACTATTGTTACTATTGAGCTATTTTGCTACTGAAATCTGATATATTACTGCTTGAAAAAATATTTAGCAAAAATAAATATTACTCTAGTGTGACAGAATATGTTATATTGCACTGCATTGCACATATACACTGTACATGTTTATCTTAAAAAAATACATATACAGCAGCTGCCTTTGCAGTACAGGATTTCGATAGTGTGTGCCTGAATCTTTTTATTCACATTTCATATCTTGTATTTCAATTTCTAAAACAGCTCATTTCATGCAGATCATTGATCCTAAATTGTAATAAATAATTAGGTTCCTCACACATTCAGAAAAACATTTTCAATCCACTTTGGTCAGAAAATCACTTTAATGCAATCATGCAAGGTGGATTTTTTGTATACTGAAAAAGCATTTCTTGTCTTAAAATGTAATATATATTCCTTGTTGTCATTTCTTTACCTTCAGGACTCTCTCTTTAGCTCTGTCCATCTTGACGGGAATCTGAGAGGGCTGCAGTCTGGCTGATGATTGAAGGAACAGCTCCAAGGTGTACACAGCGCTGTCCAACAGCTGGAAGATACAAAATGACAAACACTGTAGGATTTGACCTTATTTACTTTGGGTCCTGGGTAGGCCTCGGCTGCACTGAATTTTGCACTTTGCCAAACCCAGCTGAACCTCCAACACTGCTCCGTACCTCCTCCATCTCCAGATGTGCAGAGTGAACCAGTCTCTGAGTGCTGCTTAGTCCAAACCGCTGTTTAAGGCCTTCAAGTTTCTCTGTCATGTTCTCCACCTGCCTGTAGCACTTATCCAGACTGATGGAGCGCAGAGTGGACAAGGCCTGGACAACACACACACAACACACACACACAAAACCACATAATAATGATATTAATAATACGATGATTAAACTAAGATGCTGCACTTGAGAAAGTGGAAATGTAAGCTAAAGTTTGTAAAAAAAAAACAAACACCTATCTCTCTCACCTTGTTCATCTCTTCTGTCCCTCCATTTGTGTGTGTGAAGGCCGAGTCCATCTGTGTGTGCAGCGTGCGTTGCATCCCCTGAATCCCTGCACTTATGTTTTCTGTTAGTGCTTCAAGGATGGAGGTCATGTAAGGTGCTACAGCCTCACCGCACACTTTCTCTGCCTCTTCACATATACACACTGGAACACACACACATTCATACAATGTTTGAGAGCGAAGTTACTGAAGGACTCTTATCAGACCGGAAACTTGATCGTAGCCCCGGATATTAATTTAACAGCACTGTGTTTGCACTACAAATGAATTAATTTTTTAGGTATGTTCACACTTTTCGGGGTTAACTATCACCTTTAACTTTCTCCTCCAGGAAGCAGTGAGAGGACATTATCTGGTCCAGGTTGGATCGGATCAGTGCTTGACTGGCTGATGCTGTTTGACGGCACTCCTCCCTCAGAGCCTCCAGGCTGGCAGTGAGTTGCTCTAGCACCAAAGTGTGGGTTGCCTGCACTGTCTATACATACAGAAACACAGGATAGTAATGTACCATAAAACAAGGATTTTAGTAAATTTACACGAGGTATAAGAAGATAGCAGTGTTTACAGTGTTCAAAGCTGCAAAGAAAAAAAAATTCTAATGGGATTAATATCTAAATTCTCTCAAGTGAGGTTCTGAGAAATCAGATTACAAGATTACAATCAGAACGTGAAGGGGAAAAAAGTCTAAATACATTGATTCTTCTGGCCACGTGGGGGCACCATAACAAGCTGTAAACACAACACACAGACATATTTCCCCTCTACAGTTGTTGGGGCGAGTGAGGTAGCAAAAACAGTTTTGAATGAGCTTGTTTTGGTCTCCCAAAAAAGAAAATAGTAAAATATGCCTAAAATGCTAGAAATGTGTTTGCTTGTTTGGTGGTGAAAGGGGTGGTGTTACACTGGGCTGCTCTGGCTGCTGCTGCTGCTGGAAATGAGGTTAATAAGAGCACTGAGACTGAAACAAAACAGTCAAATTGTGGGCCGTAAAAGGGGGGACAGCAGAGTTAGATGCTAATTGCCTATGGGTTCATCACTGACAGAGCCCTTTCACATTACTCATTTGATCCATTGTTATAATAAAAACTATTGATGAAAGGCAGCTTTAAGGTCAGAATTTTGAGAATACATTTTGAATGATTTATCTCCGAATTCACTACTTCACAAACTATAATTTCTGATTTCTTTGATTCTTTGCTTTCACTAGTGAAAACATAGTTCAAGGAGTTTTTAACTCAGTCTCAGTTTAATACTGATTCCTCCATAAACAAACAAGACCATTAGAGAGAAGATTGGATATTTCTATATAGTTATTCTCCTTTAGTCCCCTTGATATAAAGAGACAATGACAATAGAAACACTATCACTTTTGTCCACAGGGGCCACC